CTGGGAATGGTACTGGTGGTGGAGGGTAGGGGATGACTTTAAAAGGGGTAGCATGAGAAAGGTCTTCGTGGTGATGGAATAATTCTTTATCTTAGTTGTGGTCATAGTTACACAAATCTACACATGATAACATGACAATTATACATATATACTGATGACTGTCAGTGTCCTGAGTTTTATATTGTACTATAGTTATTTAAGATGCAGCCATTTCAAGACAGTGGGCAAACAGTATATAGGACCTTTCTATCACCTTTGTAGCTTGTGAATCTATAAAATGAGAAAAAATTTAAATGTATGGACTTCTGCTTCCAGAAAGAGGGCGTAAATGTAGTTTTCACCACACCTACCCTTAAGTACAATGAAAACTCTGGACTTTATGTATAGAAGCATCAGAAGACTCAAAGGTTGAAAAAAGGCAGATCTGCGAGAAAACTTAGGACACAGGAGCAACAATGAGTTTTCTATATTATCTTTTTGCATCATATATCCCAGACTTTAACTGCCAGAAACTGGCAACCAAGAAACACCAGTAGGGAACAAGTAAAAACACTCTAGGAAAAGCCTGCTCTCTGGGGCCAAAAGAATAGAGGCAGCTTAGCAAGGCAGAAGCTACTCTAGCTAAATACCACAGGAGAAATTATGGTTCAGGCTCCACCTATGTTGCAGAGACCAAATAAGTTGCTTAAGTGTCTAACCTTAGGAAGCTCTAATGAAGTGTGCCAGGCTCCTAAGAGCAGACGATGCAGGAGGCATCTGACTGAGGTAGTGTCAGAAGAGCCCATGTCAGGAGATTAAGGACTTTGACCATTTCCCAGCGGAAATGAAGACTGCATATACCCCTAGGTGAGTGGAGGCTTTGTGGGGAGCAATAACAAGTCACACTGCCGCTCCTCTCTAGAGCTGTATGGGTTATAAAACCTGGGGAGCTGGAACTCCCACCGTGGCTCAGCTGTAATGAGGAGCCATCCTGCAGGGTTGCTAAGGGGACTAACTGGGCAACCTGGACTTCTGTCTCCATCTAACAAGAGGGCGCCTCTCCCCCTTTTCCAGGTCAGTGCAAAATAAAAAAGCACAACAAAATTTAAATACTGAGTTGTTGGAAAAGTCATGACGTGTTTTCCTAGCAAATATGCATCCTAAGTCTCAGAACATAATATAAAAATGTCCAGTTTTCATCACTCCATACCAAGAAGATCTTAAACTAAATTTAAAAGGAATCAACAGATGGGACATCAAGTGAAACAGTCTTAAAGTATCAGGAAGGAAGAACATGAGACACAAAAATATGGGTATATTCCAGAGACTACTTGCTCTGAGTTTTCTAAATATGTTTGATAGTTGAAGTGAAAACCATTAAGTGATGCAGTTCTAGTAAGTGAAATATTTAAGACAGTTATAACTGTGGGAGGGTAAAGGAACATGGAGGTAAGATTTTTCCACTTGAACTGGTAAATGACAATGAGTAGACTGATAAATATATAAATACTGTAGTAACAAAAACTACATAGGAAAAGCTATAAAATCTATATACTCAAAGCCTATAGATTTCTAATTTCAAAACTTTGTATTACAAAGCTATGCGCATCAAAACACTGTTACTGGCATAACATAGATAGTTTTATTGACATCTGATTTTTCACCAATATAATTCAATAGGAAAAGAATAGTCCTTTCAGCAAATGATTTAAGACAACTAAATATGTACATACAAAGTAATAAGTTGGACTACTTCTTTAAACCATATGCAAAAAATTATCTCAAAATGGAACAAATTTTTTAAGAGTGAAATGTATACAACTTTTAGGAAAAAAACAAACATTGATGTAAATCTACATGGCTTTATATTGGATGATAATGGTTTCTTAGGTATAGCACCAAAAACCTGGATGAAAACCTGGATATCATCAAAATTAGAATTTTCTCTGTCAAAGGACACCATCAGTAAATAAGTCACAGCATGGGAGAAGAATTTTGCAAATAATATATTTGATAAAGTATTTAGAATATAAAAAAATATAATCCACTAATAAGGCAAGGGATCTGAATGCATATTTCTCCATGGAAGATAATATAAATGGCCCATAACCACATGAAAAGATGTTCAATATACTTAGCCAACAAGGAAATATACAAATTCTTGTCCAAACATCAATAGAATTTAGCATTAGATGGAAATATCACCATGTCCAAATGAGGTTTATCCAGTCATGCAGACCTGTTCAGTACTTGAAATTAGCCAATTACTTTTGAGAGCAATTACCAAGTTTTTAAAAACTTCCTAAGAGCTGGAGCTGTCATGTTACTTTTTTTTTTTTTTTAAAGATTTATTTATTTGTGCATACAGAACTGGGGTACAGGCCAGAGGCTCAGGGGTGGTGACAGGCTTCACCAGAGACAGAGTGGAGAACAGAACAGGCAGATTGACGAAGTACACTGCTAAGGGGAGCAGTGGGCAGGTCAGGAGAGGACTGCCACACCATGTGGTCACCTCCGGGGCAGGCGGGAATCGAACTCATGCAGAAGTGGCTTTAGATTCTCAGTGCTGTGCTTTAACCTGCTGCGCCACCAGGGAGGGCCATGTTACCTTTTTTTCCCCATTTACCCTTGCAACAATAATAAAGGCCACTGGTAACTTAATTAAAAATAAAATCAGTGTAACAGCCTGAAGAAGAAGAAGAAAAATCACATGAACACAGTCCAGTGCAGAAAAAGCACTTAAAAACTTTAAAGATGTATTTTTGATTTAAAAAGACATACTCAGAAAAATAGGAATAGGAAACTTCAACTTGATACAGAATATCCACCCCGAAAAATCTTTGGGGAGGATGTCTAGAGCCATTCACAATGTTCCAGCCATCAGAGATCTTATAGTAGAGCTTCTAGCAAAACAAGTGTGTCCTGACCTCCTACTAATAAAATTATTTATACTAAACTGTATGTGGTGTGTTTTCAGCCTTGGAAGAGTTCAGGCTGTGAGACCTGAAGGAACCAGAGATTCTACAGTAGCCCTCAATCTCCTTATCTTACAACTCAGGTCTGAGTCCTAGGACACTAACGTCATCTGACACTTTGGGTCTGTGCCTTGGTGCCTAAGGATTTTTAGTTCCAAGGGCTGGTTTAATGACTACATTAATCCTTTCTACCCTCACATCCAGCTGTTGGCATTGTGAGAGCCAGATTTCTGATCTCGTGGCGCCTCCTTTCCAGTTTTTCTATCCTTATCCTCTAGCGTCAGTTAACTTTTAAGAAAAGTAAGAATTGTTCCAAAATCCCTGTTTTTATATTCTAGGCACTGCGGGGACAGAAAAACACATTATATACCATTAGGGAGACTCTGAACTCTATTCCATGATCCCTAGAGACCATGTTTTTTTCTTAAGCATGAATTTTTGTTTCCAACAACAACAAAAAAAACTCTCATCTATCAGTGAACATGCTGAGTCTCTGAACATGAGCCAGATTTTGTTTTGCATTGCTGATAAAAGATATCCAATCAGCAGTTAGTGTTCCAGAAAAGCACCAAGTACAAGAAATTGCCTTGAGGCTCCTGGTGTGCAGCTGACACCAGAACTGGAAGTGATTATGTGAATATTCCTGATAAAAAACCTAACCCACAGAATCTGTTGATCACTGGTATTATGTATATAGTTTGGTGAGAAGGGAGCAGAGGAACAAATAATGAGCCTATGCAGTCAAGTGGGAGGGGATTTGGGTAGTAGAGCACTATCTAGACAGAGGGTGATTTTTTTTCCCCTTTTAAAATGATGATTTGGAGGAACTTCTGGGATAAATGGAACTTACTATGTCTAGGAGAATAGCATAGGAATGAAGTCTAGATTATTTTAAAAACATTAACATATATACAGTTGAGCATCTTATACTATTTCTGGAATCAGGAAACAGTTGTTGGGTGAGGTAAAATTAATGGCTGGGGGCAGGATTGTGAGCAACAAGGGAGATGTATCTTCAGCTTTGTATTATGTTGCATGTATTACATTCACAAGAATCAGAGTTAAAATTGACAGGCGGCCAAATTTTCTTTAAGACTCAAAGATTTTGCTCAGGTGTTTGAAGGTTCAAATTCAGAGACTCGTTACCTTCCCACCTTTACCATTTTGTTTGCCAATGACCCTGGCCCCATGGGTCACACTTTTAAATGTATGGGGTAAAATAGAGTGTAAATATTGAAAATTAATACTTGGATTCTAGTCCTGAGGCTCCCTAAGTAGTCGTGACCTTGGGTAAGCGCAGTTCCCTGGGTTTCAATTTCCTTATTTGTTAAATAAAGCTGGACCTTGGTAATTTTAACGCTTACGGTCACTTTTTCTGCCCACCACACTGGAAAGGCGTGCCTCTGCAGTGCGCCTCTAAATGTTGAGTAAGCACTTGCCCAAGGGTTACCCCGCTGCAGGCAAAGAGGCGCCCTCTTGAGTTCTTCAGCCGTGGTCTGTGAGGTCCTTGAGACTACTTTTCAAATTCACTGCCCCGACTGACTGCTGGAGGAGAGTTGGTGCTCAACAGTGAGTCAAAGTGTGAGGAGAATGCAATGCCCCCGGAGCTGCACCATTATCTAGCGAATTCTTGCAAAAAGCCTCCTGACCCGCCGCCTTCCTCTTAAAAAGCGACTGCAGGAGTGCGAGCCTCACGCCACTGAGAGACCCCGCCTTTCAGATCGCCCCAAATGCGACTTAAGCCGCGGGGCCCCAGGACGTCGCCCCAGCCGCCCGCCACCTGCCGTCGCGC